TAAATAATGTATATTTTTGTGTAAATAAATATTTTAAAACATGTTACTATAATTTGATTATAATATTTTTTATTACTATATTGAGTAAAGCAAGAAAATATCAACCAAATTAGATGTCATCCATTAAATCTCTTCTTATTAATTTCAGACTCGATTAACTAACACAGGCTCATTCTGAAAACGTACCGCTGTATACATTTCTGGAGAGCACAAATTATGTAGCCAGAGCTACGTATGGCTGCATTTTATCTTTAAAACGAACGCTTTGGGGCGGTATGACGCTGTTCCTTTTCGGCTACCAGCTCAACGCTTACCTCCATGCGGACGGCTTTTCCACTGTTACCAGTTTGCCCAGTGGCTCACTGTGTACGCCGGTGGACTTATGACCTGGAGCGGAGTTGACCACGACAACGGCATTCGAGTACAGTGAATAACGGTTCCAGAAAGCAGCTAAGACAAAAACCAAAGGCAAAAAAATATATAAACAAGTAAAGAACAGGGTGAGGACATGGTAAGATCTGAAAACGTGGTAAAAATCAAAGCGAGGGCTTTTCTTTTTCTGGATTGCTTTTGAAAACACAGTCGATTGGGTTTAGAGAAGGAAGCGGGGGGGGATCAGTCAGTCAATCAGTGAGTCGACAGTGGCCTCTGGTGGATTTATGTAAGAACAGCAGGCGCAAATTAAATTTTGGGCACCAACTAAACCAGTTAATACCTGTAAACACATTAATGGAAAGATGAATGAGGCCAAGTACAGAGATATCCTGGACGAAAACCTTCTCCAGAGTGCTCAGGACCTCAGACTGTGATGAAGGTTTACCTTCCAACAAGACAATGACCCTAAGCAAACAGCTAAAATAAAGGAGTGCCTTCACAACAACTCTTGTGACTGTTCTTGAATGGCCCAACCAGAGCCCTGACCTAAACCTAATTGAGCATCTGAAGAAAGACCTAAAAATGGCTGTCCACCAAAGTTTACCATCTAACCTGACAGAACTGGAGAGGATCTGCAAGGAGGAATGGCAGAGGATCCCCAAATCCAGGGGTGGGAGGATCAGTCAGTCAGTCAGTCAGTCGACAGCGGCCTCTGGTGGATTTACGCAAGAACAGCATGCGTGAATGGCACTGGCGAGAGAAATTTAAGATCTGAAAAAGCATACACAATGGCCTCTAGTGGACTCAAAAATTACAAAAAAATGTAGCTTCTGCGACGTATTTGGCGCTCTCCAGAAATGTACACAGGGGTACATATCCATAATGAGCCTGGGCTGCTAGTAACAGATCTTTGTTCTTGTTTTAAGGTTTTAACCATGTTTAAAAAAACACAGCAGTGATTTTGTTCCTCCCTAGTATACATATCTTGATTTAAGAAGGATATTTCTACTGAAAACAAGATGAAATCAAGAAACTTTCCTGCAGTGCACAGTGTCAATGTTTGCGTAGCGTCTGAAGATCCACTAAAAACCTCACAGCAGCACTGGCTTGGATAATCCAATAAATAACACTAGTCAGATGCAAGCGTTTAGTGGCGTTCACAGGTTAAATGTTATGTTTAGAGCGATGAACAACGTTCACATGCCATATCTGTACAGTATCCAGCTGTGGAGACGGACGGAGACGCCACCATCAGCACATCAGTTCAGTTCTGGAGCACTACATGAAGCACAGACGGCCGTTTGCATGTCCTCCGACGGCCAGATCTGTGTTTTCTGTTCGTCCTTTACAGGTTTACAGCCCGCGTCAAGGCTTGTGCTTGAAATGAGCCTCAACTAGAAGGAAAAAATACCCATTAAGGCAACGTTTCCATCTAAATATGCTAATTTATGCGCATAATTAAGCATTTTAGAATAAAGCGACATTTTGACATTAAAGGTAAGCAACTGCATGTAAACAACATCACATTAACATCTAAAACATGTTAAAAGTCAATTACAGGACTGTGTTTTTTTTACGCCAATGTTGGATGTCAACTTTTTGTCGTTTTGACGCCAATTTAGTCAATTAAGATTAAATTGATTTGCATTTTTGACGTATTTTTTAATGTCATTTTGACATAAGGGTTCCCGCTGGGTTATTCATTCATTCATTCATTCATTTAAACGTCCTTTATTAATCAGTGGTTGCCACAGTGCAATGACCCGCTAACTTATCCATCATATGTTTAACGCAGCGGATGCCCTTCCAGCTGCAACCTATCAATGGGAAACACCCATACACTGTCATTCACACACATCCACTTTGGACAATTTAGCTTACCCAATCCCCCTATAGCGCATGTGTTTGTACTGTGAGGGAAACCGGAGCATCCGGAGGAAACCCACGCCAACTGAGAGCATGCAAACTCCACACAGAAACGCCAACTGACCCAGTCGGGACTCAAACCAGTGCTAGCCACTGTGCTGCAATATTACAAAATGTGCATTAAAACAGACACATATCTACTAGAAATGCAGTGTTTACCTGCGTACTCCTGCGGCATCATGGGCCGGTTTACGACCCTCTGAAAGGCTGCGATCCAGTCCTTCTGCTCGGCCTCGGTTTCACAAGCAAACAGGAACTTCCTGTCTGGCGTTTCTATGGTGATGCCGTATTTCCAGTGGTAGCCTTGAGTCGAAGGCGGCAAACCAGACAAGACTGTGTAGCGATTCTCCTTACTGCCGATGAACACCTCGCCCAGCGCATACGCATCCTATAAAAACAAGACAGACACCTGAAGAATGATGTTTAAAGCACAACAACCATGCAAAAATCCCTTTTATAAGAGGTTTAAACCCAGTTGTGTGTCAGCAGTGTGTGAATATCTGCAGCCTCTAATGCTCAACATGAATTAATCTATTGTTTATAATCAGACTTGATGAAGGAAACACTTCGATTGACGTTCTCCCTTTCCACGTGTCATCAGAAGGGGGGAAAGCCCCGCCCACTAGTGCCCATCTCTCCCTCATCAGCAGCCCTGAGTGAGAAGCAGCCGTCTGTCCATTAGCCATTAGAGTGATTGAGCTGCTGAAGATGATCTCAGCATAGACTAAGAGGATTACAGATGTGGAGTTTCCGGAGCATGAAGCACACACTGACAACATGCAGACCTGATGAGCACTGAGAGTGCTGTTTTACATCTGCCGCCATGCTGATGCATGTGCATTTGTAGCTCCGCCCTCTTCTGAAAACAGCACCATCTCATTTGCATTTAAAGCGACAGTCGCCAAAACGCCACAATTAGGATCAAAGCCTGAATGGATGAGCTTCAGTAAACAGTGTTAAAGCATTATAAATATCATTTGATCAGTGTTTCCTCACCAGTGGATCTTTGAAGTACATGAGTCTGCGGTCGTCCATAGTGAACCATCTCTTCTTGAAGCCCTCGGTGTGCTGAGTAGAGCATCAGGCCATCAAACGCGTTCATTAAAGCACATTGGATATTCAGTTCATTTGTGCAAAAATGACACGACGGAAACAGAAGTGCAAGTTCTACAGCTGTAACTATAGCTCTGGTATGAATTATTATGAAGATTATTAATATATAAACTCACCCGTGGGCCGGTTTTCTGCATGAAACCCTCCTTTGTGAAGTTTCTTGTAAGTCTGGGCACCAACTGAACCATAACAGAGAAAACATGCTCAGTTAATACCAGTATGAACACTGCAAACACAGAAAAACACAGAACTGTTGGCATCTTTGCAGATTTATTGAAAAAAGAAAAACTGAAATGTCATATCCCTACTGAAAAAAACTGCTTAAACCAGCCTAGGGCTGGTTGGCTGGTTTTAGCTGGTCGACCAGGCTGGTTTTAAAGGGGTTTTGGCCACTTCCAGGCTGGTTTCCATCCATTTCCAGCCTTGTCTTAGCTGGTCAGGCTGGGAGATGACCAGCTAAAACCAGCTTGACCAGCCTAGCCAGGCTGGGAGCCCAGCCAAAACCAGCTATATCCAGCTTAAACCAGCCGGGTTAAGCTAGTTTTAGCTGGTCATTTTCCAGCCTGATGTGGTCATTTCACTGGCTCATCAACATTTCCTGCTTGTTATTAAACTATTTCACAGCTGTAATAAGAGGCAATTTATTCATAATGTGATGCTAAAACAGCCATCATAACATTATTTATTAATATGTGGCTCTTTTTGGATTCTCGAAGCTGTAGAAATTAAACAGGAAATGCGTTGAGACCGTTGTTTTTGTTTACATCCCTCAAAATTGGCTATGAGAAAGTGTGAAACATTTCAACTTCCTGTACCCAGTCTATGTATGTATATACACAGAAATACATGTGTGCTTAAATAAAAGTGTAAACTTTAAGACATTGGGCTCTATTTTGACGATCCATGTGCAAAACGGAAAGTGCAGGGCGCAAACGCTTTCAGGGCGTGTCAGAATCTATATTTGCTAATTTAAGGACGGGAAAATCCAATTGCGCCGTGGCACATGGTCTAAAAGTGTTGAGTTTATTTTCTTAATGAGTTATAGGTGTGTTTGGAGAATAAACCAATCAGAGTCTCATCTCCCATTCCCTTTAAGAGCCAGCTGCGTCGCGCCAAGAGCGCATTCACTATTTACAGGACGCAAAGTAAGTGTAAATGGAAAAACTGAGCATTTCACAAGCAAACAGTTCACAGTTATTTTTAACAGAAAACAGTTAAACAGAGCATCTACTGCGCGAGAATGAGAGATAATGGATCTACTTTCACTTTCGCTCTTGTGGAAAGGGAAACCTTTACGCACAGACATCAATTAGCCAATAAATAATTAATTTAGTTTGTTAAGCGCAAATATTCGTTTCAAAACTATTTCTAAATTCAGTTCTAATCTCCAGCAAACGAATAAATGAACAATAATAATAAAGTGTGCTCAAAAACCTGAGTTATATCCTCAAACACATGCTGTGCCCCATATGGTCTAAACCCTGACAGGTGGACAAATCTGAGCTTGTTTTTAATAAAACAAATATAAATATGGATATAATAAATAATACTGCTAATAATAATAACATTATACAAAAGCAAATTGTCATGAATGAACTGAAAAAGCCTCAGAGATGAAGAAGACATAAAGCAGTGAATTTTCATATTTATGTAGGCTAGAAAATAATATGTTTTGTAATATTTTAATCCTTTATATTTATATCCTATATATATTCTTATTATATCCTATATATATCTTTAATATTTACATTTTTTCATATGTAAAGATATTTGGCTATTGCTCTCTTGTGTGTATTAAGCAGTGTGTAAGCGAGGCGCAACTCTGCGCTGGAGTTTAGACCGGGTTTGTTTTGGTCTAATGAAAAATCTATTATAGATTCTCAAAATAGCAACGCGCCAGCGGTCCGCCTCAGAACACCTCCTTTTTAGAGCAGAACGCCTATGGGTGCACATATGAGCGCTAATGCATTTGCTATTTAAACAGCGTAGAGCAACGCCTCTAAACCACTCTTGCGCCAAGCTGAAACTAGCAAACAAGTATTGCGCCGCGCCTCACACCACACTGCACCGGGTGTATGATAGAGCCCTTACTCTCTGAGAATAAAACTCTAGTAATCTCTTATGTAATGCATCTGTTTAAGTTTTTACAAGGCTAAATTAGCGAAACAAGAACATGATTGTGCTGTGTAAATCACAGAAGAGCTGGATACAGCGAGTCTGAGGCTCATAACTCATGTTTATGTGTCAGCCGCTGGGAGAAATGAGATGAGATTCACATACGTCCTCATCATTAGCTCCAGGAAATGCCACCTTCTGGTAATGAAAGCGAGCTGCCCGGATCGCAGTGAACCAGTCCACCATTTCCTGCACACACACACACACACACACACACACACACACACAAGTTTTTTGTGCAATTTGGAGACTTTCCACCGACTTCTGTTGCTTTTATGCTGGCAAAATGATGTTTTCTCTCCCTGAACTCAACACTCCACTCAAACACACAGCCTGTCTGCAGTTTTACACCTTCAGATAGACATCAGTTAGTATTGAAGACTGAAATCTAGACACACAACGCCAAACAAATCAGGTTTTTCTACCTCGGTCCCCATAATGTAGCATAAACACACTCACACAAACACACTTATACAGAAACACAAGCACACACACACACACACACACTCACTCTCTCTCAAACACAAGCATGCTCATATATATAAGCCTAAACACACATAGACACAAACACAGATTTAAACACACCCACGCAATCAAACTCACACACACACACACA